GGCGTGTCACATGGCGGGCGGGGGTGGGGCGTTGCGGGCTGTGTTTACAGCTTCGCACGCGCTGCTTCCGTTTGACGTCGGGGGTCTGGCGTGCCGGGCCTGGGGTGGTAGAAGGTCTCTCGCTTGGGGTCCGGCGGGGAAGTCGGGGAAAAGTCCCGAGCAGTGGTCTGGCTGAGTCACCTGCGTTCTGAGTGACCTTGTCCCGATTCTTCAGGCTCTCAGGACCCCAGTTTCATTAGTTGAGCTACTGTTTATTGGGCCCTTACTCTGTGCGCTGCTTTGTCCCGGTCCAGGTACAGCGGATAGCAAACCGAGACTGGTGGCTGGACGAGGTGGAGACGTGTGTCAAAAATCCCAAAGACATGTAGAATTGCAAATGTGAAAAGTGCTCTCAGGAAGCAGACACGGGCCTTGGGGGGAGTGGGTTAAAGGCCATTGAGGGGTTTTAATAGGTGTGAACCATTGTCCACATCAGAATCCCTGGCTGTAGGAGTGTGGGGACCCGTTGGTGGTGGAGAGAGCCAGTTCAGACAATGTTATGGGTGTGTCTGGTTTCGGGGGAGTCCGCCCCTGACCAGGGCTTTTCCTGCAGAATTGGATTGAATGGAGGGAACTGTCCCACACTGGTTGGGGTAGGGACCTGCAATGCCTCTGGGGAGCTTTCGGATCCTCAACTCTTCAGGTGTTCTGGTTTTGACTAGTGGGAGGAGGATGGGGAAGTGTGGACCGGTCCTGAAAGATGATCTCAGGGTTTTGAGGGATAAGGGGAAGTTGGGGCACCTGAATAGGTGGGGGAGGGGATGGAGCCGGGCTAGAGTTGGGAGCTTGGCCCATTGGCAGATAAAGGACTCAGTGTCCCCTTCCCATGGGCACTTCAGCCCTGGCTGAAGTCACCTGTTCACTTGGGAAATAAGATTTCATCCTCTCTTTTGCCTTGTGGGGATCACTCAGTGTTCACCATTTTTTGCAAACCCTGATGCTGCCAGATTTCGCTCTTACTGAGAATGGTCCCTCACCTTTGCAAAGCATGATAAACATGAATTATGTGGGCAAAGTTGCTCAGTACAGGGTTGGCAGCTCTGAATATGATTACTGTTACCACTGTGGACAGCAACATGGCATGATGGAAGGTGAGCGGGGTCTGGAGCCAGACACACCTGGATGTCAGTGTTGACTTTGCTACTTAATGTCTGATATTGGGCCACGTATTCGGCTCTGAGCCTCAGTCTCATTTGTAGAACCCAAGTCATCCAGGAGTGCTGTGGAAGATTAATGCCAGTGAGGTGTCCAGCATGGGCCTGGCTCTCGGTGCACCATTTCTAGCACTCACCTCTTTGCTTCCATCTGGACCACTCGAGATCCTAAGCCCCATTTTACAGATAGGGAAATAGACTGGAATCCTGGCCTCCTTACACTCTTGCCAGTGAAGAAGAGCAGGCACCCAGTGGGCCAGCAGGGTGTGTTTCTGGCAAGGGGTGGAGAAGGGCACAAGGCAGGGCCCACTGGGAGCTTTTCTTGCTCAGGGAGCAGGAAGTACGTTCGCCCTTCCTCCACTCTCATCCAGGCACCACTCTGGTACCTGCTCAGGCTTGCCCAGCCCCAGCTCTTCCAGGCCAGCGGGCTAGCTGGGGTGCAGCAGGTGGGACAGGCAGGAGCAAAGGTCACCCTTCTGGCCCCCAAGCTCCCCTCCCCTCCCCGCCAGATTGTTTTCCCAGGAGCTGCAGGGAAAGAAAAAACAACTTTGTTTTCAGTCAGGATCAGCCTGACTAGAAAGTGGACTTTGGATTTTTTAGTGGGCTCAAATGGGGCCTGACAGCTGGGGCCAGTAGATGGGGGAGGGGGGAATAAAAGGCATTTCCGTCAGGGCCATTATCTTACCTGAGGTACAGAGAGGTTGAGGGCCTTGACAAAGTTAGCATAGCCAGTCCATGGAGGCTCTGGGTCCCGGCCTTCTCAGCATCCTCTGGCCTCCTCCCCACCTCCATTCTTTTAATCACTCCACAAATGTGAGTGTTTATCAGACATATACCGGGTGCCTAGCTCTGAGAGCACAAGAGTGAATAGGTGAGGATCCTGCCCCCTCAAGATGCTGGAAAAGAAGTATAAATTTGAGGGACTCACACCAGGAGACCATGAACTGTGCCTAGGGTCTTTTTTTGTTTCAAATGACCCAAGGTTGGCTGACTGAAGGGGCTTTGAGGTCTGGCCACAGCCTGGGTCCTAATCTCCAGTCCCATACTCTTCCCCTTGATTCTAGCTACACTGGCCTTTGAGTTCCTGGATCATACTCATCTCTTTGATGCCTCAGGGCTTTTGTACATGCTTGTTCTCCCTGCCTGGAACTTGGCCTACCACCTCAGAGTTTGCCTGGGTGGCTTTTACTTATATTTCAACTCCTGGCTTAAATGTCATCTCAGTGACATCTTCCCTAACTTCCTGATCAACAGTAGGTCTCGTCTATTATTTCATTGCGCCTCAATCCATTCCCCCATAGTACCCACCACATCTTGTGTTTATAACCTTTTTCAGTGTCTGTTTCCTCATCAGCCTGGAGGCTCTATGTCTGGTAGTTCCTCTATTTGATCCCATTGCCTGGCTCTTTATCTGGGTTGTGGGACATTTAATCAGGCTTTCCCAAGACATGGCCTCTTTATCTGGCTCTTTGCCTGTTACATAGTAGCTGCATGATAAATATTTGTTGATTAAATAAATGAGTCAGTCAAGATGTTGATAGTGGAACTAGTACCAAATCAGAAATGGCCTGTCTCCCATCGGGGCATGGATAAACACAGAAAAATATACTACAAGTCCAAAGCTCTATTAACTGGAAATATTTAATTAATCAAACATCTAGCCCATGGAAATGACTACCCTGGCCCAGGATCCATAGGGAGGACATGCTCTCAGGTTTATTTTTCAGTGGAAACATCAGGGTCCTCAGTATTCTCCCTTCCTCCCGGCAAAGAGAGAGGCTGGTAAATTGAATGCAGTGTGTGTATATGTATATATACATACATACAAGTGTTATGTGATTTAAGAGAAATTTAAAATAAGGGAACGAAGATCACATGGGGCAGGGTGTCTTCAGGCCCATCTGGGGGCAAGAGATATGAAATCTGGCACATTAGGGTGGCAGGAGAGTGCGGTGGTAGGAGTGGCCTGGTTCAAATTCCAGCTTTACCATTTATCTACTATGTAACCTGAGTAGGGTATTTCACCTTTCCCAGCCTTACTTTCCTTTTCTGTAAATTGGGAATGAAAAATAGAACCAATATCAGAGAATTAAATGAGAATATTTGCGCAGCCCTCAACACAATGCCTGGCACATAGTAGGTGCTCAGTAAATAGGGATCTTGGTTGCGGGACATTTAATCAGGCTCTCCCAAGACATGGCCTCTCCCTCATAGGTGTATGTCCTTCACTTTATTAGCTTAGGCTTTCTGGTTCCTTGACAATAGAAGATATTCTGGATTTCAGCCTCTAGGAAGGTATAAAACTAATTTTATTGTGGACCGTGGCGAATTTACCTTTTGAAATTCTTAGCTAGCCAGTGCCTTCCCTAGCTGCTTTCTTGATACAGCGGGCTCGACTTGGGAAGTCACTTTCTTCTAGGAACTCCAGTTTCTCAACTAAAAAGTAGATGAAAACAGATCCCCATGGGGCCTGCTTATGGTTTTGTGTAAGTCAAAATCCAGGAAGGTTCATTGCAACCTATGAGGCTTTGATTTCTTTATCTATAAAATGGGGAGAGGTCTATTACCTCTGTGGGGGACTGTAAAATTATGCCTTCAAAGTAATTGTCCTAGATGTGGAGCCGGAGAGATGCCTTGAATTTCAGAAGGCTAAAGCAAACGCTTTGCTTGGAACACTGCTCCAAATAAGTTTGGACTCCACCCCAGCTCTTTTCGGGAGGCAGGTGAATGTGTGCCCTCTGCTGGCCAGGGCAGGAGATAAACCCTGGGAAGTGGGGCGAACCATGGTGTCTCAGGGAGGTATTTCAGAGAGGGGGTAAATAGAAGTGGGTATATAGAAGGGTCTATATATGAACAGATTACTAGAAGGCTAAAGAGTTACAATGTTAATGCTGTGCTTGGAATAAAGAGAGAAGAACGATTTGCAGTGCGGTTGATGATTCCACGCGTCTAGATTCAGGTCCATTGGGTTTGTCCCCGAGCGCTTGTCAACAACTTTAGAGGGCCCTGCCGATGTGCATCCCGGGAATTGTAGTTCTTAGGCAGGTTTCCCTCGCCGTAGCCCGGCGCCGTCCGCGGCGAGGGGACTACATTTTCCGACGAGCCTTGGATCCCGAGGGGGGAGGGCCGTTGTGGTGTCGAGCCCCGGGGCCGAGCCGGGGGTGGGGGCTCGGAGGCCAGGCTTCCGCAGCGGTGGGCAAGCGTCCGTGCGGCCTGGTTCGGGCCATGTCCGCGTGAGGACGCCGCTGCTGCTGTCCGCGTCCCACCCCGGCCCCGGCCCGGCCTGCTGCGCACCATGGGCTCGATCCTGAGCCGCCGCATTGCTGGTGTGGAGGACATTGACATCCAGGCGAACTCGGCCTATCGCTACCCACCGAAGTCCGGTGAGTGTCCGTCCCCGGGTGCGCTCTGCGAGACGCGGACTTGGAGGCGGGCGGGGCGGGCAGGGCGCTCCAGCTCGGCACCCTCTGCGCAGGAGTCGGGTTGGGGAACTCTGCTCCGCGCGCAGCCCTCCCTGCGGCCTCCCTGCCCGGAGATTCTCGCGCCCTCGACCCGGACCCCAGGGCCTGCGTGGGGCCGTGGGGTGACCGCTTCGTCCAGGCTGGGTGACCTTGGGTCAACCACTTCTCCCCTGAGCTCTTAAGCTCCCTCGTCTGCACACTGGGGAGATTCTCGGGAAACTCCTAGGCCCGGGGTGAGATTCCGGGCGCGATGCTGGAGAGGGGTTAGCATGGTGCTCCGTGCTTCGTTTGTGCTTACAAAGTGGTCATTGTCATAATGATTGACATCACTCCATCGTCGGTTTGGGCTTTCTTTGGTGGCTTGGTGTGAAGATCCAGTCAGTGGTTCTGGGCACTCTCCATCCCGTCTGGACCGAGGTTTAGCTTTCCCAGTGATCACCTAGCACCTGTGTGTGTCTGTGTGCGTGGTGGGGGAAGTGGGGCTGGGCCCAAGGAGATGATTATAATCAATGGGGGAGAGGCTGGGAGTCCTTGCTGGGGAACAGGAAGATGGTTGGAGGAGACTACTAGGTTTTCTGGTCTCCTTTTTTGTGTCGGAGAGACCTGAGTCACCAGGGAGGAAGTGACTTTCCCAGGGTCTCATAGAGTTGGATGGTAGCACATCTTGGACCAGGAGCAGGAGTCCGACTCAGAGCCGAGTTCTCACTCCGTTATGTTGTCTCTACATTGAGTGTGGCCTGACCCAGGACTTTAGCTCCAGTTCCTCACTCTCTATCTCATCTGGTCATTTGCCCTGGAAAGGAGAGAAGAAAGAGGACATGGAGTTTGGACATCATGGAGACCTTCAGATTGGGTCTTCTGATCCTGGCTTCTGAAGCATCTGATCCGATGTGGTCTTCTAGGTCTCACACTTGGCTCGTGGGCATCCACCAGACCAGGTTTCTTGAGTGTGGTTCAGGACCACCTGCTACCACCAGTGGGGAAGCTTGTGAAACATTGCATTTCCTAGGTCCTGCCTCAGACCTGTTGGGGGCCTAGGAAGTTGCATTTAAAACCCACTCCCCAGGTGAGTCTCGTGTCCGCTCAAGTTTGAGAACTGCTCTGCTCTGATTTTGGAAGGTGAAAGAAGGGGAATGCCTGGGGCTACTGGAAATAAAGGGGGTGGAGATGGTTTTAGTGTAATCGGAAGGGGATGTAGTCAGAACTGCCTACTAATTTGGGAGATCTCCATGCCTACTGTGCCCTAGGCACAAGGGCAGCCCAGCCTGGCATGGGGATCCCCTGGAGGATCTGTGGGCTGACTTCCCCAGATCTGATGGAGCAGTTGTTTGAAGCCAGCTTCTTCCATCGCTGATATTCTTCCAGCTTGTCTTTGGCTGAGTGACTTGGCAAGTTGCTTAGTCCCCTGGGTCACAGTTTCCTCATCAGTAAAATGGGCTGATCTTTGTACAGTGCCCAGAATAGTGCCTAGCACCTAAGAGGTCCTCAAAAAGTATTAGCTGCTAATAGGAAATCAGGTGACCAACTCAGACCCTAAAAGCAGTTAGTGGTATCGCAGCAATATCAAAAAATTTAATGTGTCACCTCCTGTCACCTGGGACCAGAGCAAACTTGATGTCCCCTCACTTGGGCCTTGGGACAATACAAGGCATTTATTTACAGCACCTATTT